CCTCCAGCTGCTGGTGGATAAAGCCATGGCAGGCAGGTGATACCTACAAATCATAGATCCAAGCATCTGCCTGCCACCACGTAGGTCAAGCCTCGGCAGGTGCTGGTGAGGGAGCCATCCCAGATGAGAGACTGTCAGAGTCGTGTGCCTGCAGATCCCTAGGCCTGGACTGGGGCCCCCAACACCAAGGCTGGCGAAACCGGCCACATGGGGCTGGGGACCAAGGTGCAGGTGTGGGCTGGCCTTCACCACCATGATGTCTCTGAGCAGCTGTTCTGCCTCTCTGGGGTTAGGAGCAAGTTCTGGCTTCAGAGAGATGGGCAGGGAGGGTCCAACCATACATGAGGCATTGTGGTCTGTGCTAGGCCCAGGGGGCTGGTGGAGGGCCAGAGGTGTTAGTATCTCTGCAGGCAGATGGCAGCTGGAATCTGGCTTGGGGGAGGTCAGTGGAAGGGTCTGTATGCAGAACTTGGGTTAGGTTATTCATTGTGAGGCACAAGGCAGGACCAGGAGCAAGTGTACTTCAGAGAGGTGGCTTTGTTTTGTGGACAAGTGTGGCTTGTCCCATGCTGGAGCTGGCCAAGACATGTCAGGTATTCAAGCAGGAGGGTGTTTCCATGCTAGAGTAGGTAGAGGAGTCAAAGGCAGAACTTGGTGACTGTGACCTAAAGCTGTTTTCTCACCAGTGAAGCTGAGCTGTCAGACTTAAGTGCTTTGATGGCGCTTTATAGGCTCCTGCCTTGTGCCGGGTACTTGGACCTTGTGGCTGCCTGAATCTCCACTCTCCCACCCACCCGCCTTTGGTTTGAGGAAGGTGGGTGGGCTGGCCCAATTCCTGTAAGAACCACAAGCTGAGAACGTGTTCTACCAACTCTGCCGTGGTGCAGGCTAGTTCCAGCATCCCCCTTGTGTGGGGCTTGCAGGCTGAGTTGTGTGGGGAGGGTCTCCTGGGGATCCGGTCCTAGTCCCAAAGCATTCATCCATGCAGGCAGGTTAAGCCATATATAGGGACAGCTGGGAGCTCAGGCTGTCTGCTCTGTAAGGTTGTAAGGTTATTGATGTCCCTTTTTTTTTTTTTAAAGTTTATTTTTTTATGGGACACCTGGGTGGCTCAGTGGGTTGGCTTCTGCCTTTGGGTCAGGTCATGATCTGGGTCCTGGTACCGAGTCCTACATCGGGCTCCTTGCTCATCAGGGAGCCTGCTTCTCCCTCTGCCTGCCACTCCCCCTGCTTTGTGCTCTCTCTGTCTGTCAAATAAATAAATAAAGTCTTTAAAAAAAAAAAAAAAGGGGGTATCAGGACCCTGAGCTCATGACCTGAGCCGAAGGTAGATGCTTAACCCACTGAGCCACCCAGGCGTCCTGTTGATGTCCGTTATATTTAACCTAGGCTATGCCACGGAGCCATTTGGAGAACTTTTAAAAAGTACTCAGGCCCAGACCTTACCTGTGATCAACTATGTCAGGATCTGCTCTTCTCAAAGATTCCCGATGATTCTGACACACAGGGGCATCAGACGCTGGGACTGAGCTCATGGCTCCATGAAGCCCTGCTGTACACTGAGCTAGGGGCCTGATGTGCTTGGGGCTCAGCCAGTGTGGGTCTCCCCCCCAGCTTAGGGGGTCACCTGGCTGGGCCCAGGCCAGTGGTGTCCACACGAGTTCTGCTGACATGCTCCTTGTCCCCTCTCCTAGGTCACCTCCGCGAAGCCCCCTCCCCGCTTATGATACATTCCCCCCAGATGCCACCGTTCCAGAGCCTAACCCACCAGTCGCCACCCCAGCAAAACGTTCAGCCTAAGAAGCAGGTAAAGGGCAGGGCTGGGCCACGGCCCCCAGGGCCAGGTGCGGGCCGGTGCCAGAGGCACCCACCTGCCTCACCAGCCACTGTGCCTGTGCCGTCCCAGGAGCTGCGTGCGGCCTCTGTGGTCCAGCCCCAGCCCCTGGTGGTGGTGAAGGAGGAGAAGATCCACTCACCCATCATTCGCAGCGAGCCTTTCAGCCCCTCACTGCGGCCAGAACCCCCTAAACACCCAGAGAGCATCAAGGCACCCGTTCACCTGCCCCAACGTGAGTGCCCTCAGTGCCCTGGACGGGAGCTTTCTGTGGGCTGGTTGACTCCGCCCTGCTGGGCTTGGGGGCAGGGGGGAATGGGCCCCGGCCCGGGCCCACAGCAGTTTGTGTTCCAGGGCCTGAAATGAAGCCTGTGGACGTCGGGAGGCCTGTGATCCGGCCCCCTGAGCAGAACGCACCCCCACCAGGGGCCCCCGACAAGGACAAACAGAAACAAGAGCCGAAGACGCCAGTTGCACCCAAAAAGGTAGGAACAGTGAGTCCACAGGTGTCCCCATGCCAGGGAGGCACCTTGGGGGCGGGGTGGGCGGTGCCCTCAGGCTGTGGGCTTCTCCGTGCAGCCCGACTCCGCACCCACCCTGTGGTTTCTCTGCCTGGCAGGACCTGAAAATCAAGAACATGGGCTCTTGGGCTAGCTTGGTGCAGAAGCATCCCACCACCCCGTCCTCCACAGCCAAGTCCTCGAGCGACAGCTTCGAGCAGTTCCGCCGCGCAGCCAGGGAGAAGGAGGAGCGCGAGAAGGCCCTGAAGGCGCAGGCCGAGCTCGCCGAGAAGGAGAAGGAGCGGCTGCGGCAGGAGCGCATGAGGTGGGCTGGGTCGCGGGCAGCCTGGGGCCCCGGGGCCGCCCCCCGCCCCCGGTGCTGACCGGCGCTCTGCCCTGCTCTGCCGCGCCCAGGAGCCGGGAGGATGAGGACGCGCTGGAGCAGGCCCGGCGGGCCCACGAGGAGGCGCGGCGGCGCCAGGAGCAGCAGCAGCAGCAGCGGCAGGAGCAGCAGCAGCAGCAGCAGCAGCAGCAGCAGGCGGCGGCCGCCGTGGCTGCTGCCGCCGCCCCCCAGGCCCAGAGCTCCCAGCCCCAGTCCATGCTGGACCAGCAGAGGGAGTTGGCCCGGAAGCGGGAGCAGGAGCGGAGGCGCCGGGAGGCGGTGGGTCGGGGGCCTGGGGCGGGGCCCAGCGTTGGAGGGGCTTGGAAAGGGGACCGGGAACCTCGGGGTGAAGGCAGTCGCTCTCTCAGAGGCGGGTGGGCGGGGGGCTCCCGCCGGCCTGCACTGTGCTGGCCTCGGCTCTCACGGCGGCCCAGGCCCACACAGTCCACACAGTCGGTGTTGGGAGGTCCCGGGGTGTGGGCCCCGAGGGCCTGGCCAGTGCTGGGGGGGGGCTGGAAGCTGCAGTAAGGGTAGGGCACCTGGGCTCACTCCCTCCCTCCTCCCTCCTCCCTCCTCTCCCCTCCAGATGGCAGCTACCATTGACATGAATTTCCAGAGTGATCTGTTGTCAATATTTGAAGAAAATCTTTTCTGAGAGCACCTAGGTGACTTCTTTGATTTTCTGGCGAGACGCTGACTCTCCATAGTGTTAGGGGCGGCAGTGGAGGCGGCAGCAGCGGCGGGGGGTGGCTCCGGGCCTGGCCCTCCTGCATGCTGTGCCCGGGGCAGGCCTGACGGGCAGCTGAGGATCGCAGAGCCTGTCTGCCTTACAGCCAGCCGGACGTCCCGCCACCCACCACCCCCTCACAGGACGTCGGCTCAGAGCACGCCTCTCCGCGAGCAAGTGCCGGCCAGACCCAAGCCGCGCGTCCCCGCGTGCGGGGCAGAGGTCCTGCTCTCCGCCACATGTCTACACAGTATACACAGGACGTTGTTGCTGCCGCCACCGTGACTGGTTTTCTGTCCCCGAGAACGTGACGTTCGTGACGTCCTGCCCACCAGGAGTCCTTCCCCCACACCCCAGCCACTACCGCCCGCTCCCAGGAGGCCAGGGCAGGCCCGAGCGAGCTGGAGGCGGGCGAGGGCGCCGGCCCACCCCCTTGCTGGCACTGACTTTGCCTTGAACAGACCCCACCCCTCCCCTCCCCCCACAAGCCTTTAATCGAGAGCCGCTCTCTATAAGTGTTCGCTTGTGCAAAAGGGAATAGTGCCGTGGAGGTGTGTGTGTGTCCATGGCAATTTGGAGCAAGGTGACTGTCACACGCGCATGTGTGGGCCGGCCTCGCCCAGTGAGTGAGGCCACCAACCAAAGTCAGTTCCTTCCCACCTGTGTTTCTGGGTTGTTTTTTTTTTTTTTTTTTTTCTATATATATATTTTTTGTTGGATTCTATTTTATTTTTAATTCTCTCTTCTCCTCCAGACACAATGGCACTGCTTATCTCCGAAATGGTGTGATCGTCTCCTCATTGAGCGGCGGCTGCCACCGCGCTGTGGGTAGTGTGTGACCGTGGCTGTACTGTGTAGTGAACATAGTTGGCATATCTTTGTTTGAAGTTTGTTGGTGACTCCACCAAACTGGTGTAAAAAAACTCAAAAAAAAAAAAACCCACAAAAAACAAAACACACAAAACACAAAAAAAACTGCCTATATTTTACTCAGTTTCAAACTTTATTAGTCAGTTTTTAATTATAAAGCCATGTTTTCTTTTCCCTCCCCACCCCCGTTTGTTTTTAATGTCAGATCTGTTTGTGTTTTTTTTTTTTTTTTAACCAGGAAAGGAAGGGCCAGGGGACGAGGCAGGCACCGGGGGCTGGGGGGCCACAGACCCCTGAGGGAGAGGCTCCCCACCCAGCCTGACCAGCCGGCTGCCCCTTCCCCCACCCCCCCTTTTTTTTAATTTTATAATTGGAGCCCTTGGTGAGGTTACGTGTGCCATGAGATCCCACTCTACACCACGACGCTGGTGCCTCAGTGTTGGCCAAACTCTGGAGTCACTGACTGGTTTGACTTTCATACGGTGAATATGCATTTGGTCTGTACTGATCATGGAATAAACACATCTCTCTTTTTTAATGCTGGCGTCTTCCTGACATTTCTTTGTGAACCACCTGTTGCCTAGACTAGGCCCAGGGGGCCCCCCGGGATCCCCAACCACCTTTGTACAAGAACTACCATCAGGGGCCACCTTGCCCATCTTCCATGACCAAGCTGAAGCTGTGACAGGGAGCCCAGGTACCCATTCTTCCTGTGGACCCTGGCCTTCTAGGTGGGTGATGTGCTCCAGCAGAACCTGGCCAAACTCCAGACAGTATTCTTCCCCCTCGCCCTTCTCCATCCTGGTCCCCCACTCACCAGAGGACTTGGGCCGCTTCTCCCACCTCGCCTGCCTCTACCTTAACTACTCCTTTCATTTAAGCTCAGGGTTAACCAGATGTTCTTAGATAAGTGTACACCCCCCCCCCCCGAACCAGGATCCTCACCTCCCACGCGTGTAGACAGGCACCCACACATTCCCTTCCAAGAGAGCCCGCCATGTGGCTGCCCGTGTGCCCACCAGCGTGCCACAAGGTAAGGGCGGCACTCGAGTGGTCCCTAGGATGTAAGATGAAAGTATCATTTATGTGCGCACAGACACAAACTGAAACATTTCTAGCACTGTTTATTAACCCTTATTCCCCTTTGTTTTTCAACCAGAAAAGCCCTTGTATCATCTTGTGTTTGGGATCTGGGAAACCTGGCAAGGGTGTAGTTCAGGCATCCAGCCAGAGGCCCCCAGATGCCTCCCTGCCCCTGCCCCCACGCCCCAGCAGGCACTTCCTCAAGTGCCACTATGCTGGTTCAAGTGGGACTTATATTTTGGTTCTTTGGGGTTTCTTCCATCTTGTCCCGCCCCCTCATTTCTGTTCCGTGTTTTGTTTGGTAACTTCCCCAGGCCAGGTCCGACTGTTTAGCTGGAGAAATGGTTTTTGTCTGCACCTTCTAAAGATTTAGCTCTGCCATGGCCCTCTCCACACCTTCCTGATGGGTGTTTCTCTAACTGGGTTGTAATTAGAACTTGGATCTACTATTTAATTTCTCTGGCCATTTCCCACTCCCTCCCACAGTACTAGAAATCTTAGTCTTATACAAGAGTAAGAGGTGTGTACGAGCCCCCACTGTACTGTATGCACGGATCGCTTGGCCAATAATTATGTCAGTGAATCTGAGACTTGTATTAAACACTTTAGACATTTGTAGAAGGGAATTCGTAGACTTTTCACTTATATACTAAAGGGGTTTTTTTTGTTTTTGTTTTTGGTTTTTTTTTTTTGTGCAGTTCTCATTGCAAAAATAAACATTTGTACTGAATATAAAATTACCATCCTGTGACTGCCGCTTTTTGTTTGAGGGTAGAGCTGGGGGTAGGGGGATGGTGAGAGTCAGTTTTGTGTAGCAGAGGAAGAAGGGAGATCTCCAGACACTCCATAGCCACGTAGCCAGATTAGAGGACTTGGGAGGGATACCGCGATCATCCAGTGGTTGGAAAACTGATTTGATGGAAAGTGTAAATGAAACCAAAGCTATGATACAGGCTAATCGTGCAAGAAAAGAAAGGTACTAAGTACAGGGAGAACAAACCTTGGTACAATGCTGGTCGTGTAATCATAGCCATCTGCCCGACGCTGAGATATACACTGTTTACTGAGGCGGAACCACATAAACCACCATTCCCCTTTACTAGGAACCCACAGACTTAATTATGGTCCCAGGACAGTGTAATGTTTAGCAGCCGGAACAATACAAAGGTAAGATTAGCAATGGGAGGTGACGAAAACAATGGAGTGCTTAAAGGAAACCAATAGGAACACTAAAAACGGGTAGGGCCTGTCCAATGGTGATGACAGTCCATGCAATACTTAATGCCCCCAATTGGTCATCAGGAAATAGCTACACGAGCGCGTTGCGAGATACCTGGATAACCACCAGAAGAAAGCTAAAAGCATTCCGATGGCCGCCTCCGGGCGGAAGGAGAGGTGGAGCCCGAGATTGTTGCTTTTTTCTGTAAGTCCTGTTCAGCAAGCTGTGTAGCTTTAGGCAAATGACTTAATCCCCGAATTTCGGGTTCGTGGTCTGTAATACAGGGATGTGATAATAGTACCTACACTTAATGGGGGTGTTATACGGGTTAAACGGTGAGTGACCCTGAAACGTTCAGGATCTTCGGGGAAGGTTGCAAAACAGGAGGAGGAAGCTGGCCGGGTCGGGCCTCTCGCCCGACCTTGCCCCACTTCCTCTTTCAGACAGAGCTCCAGTGGCTCAACCGGTCCGGTCCTCCAGCTCCCGGGCCGGGCCTGCCTTCTAGAAGTCCAAGAGTCTCCCGGTCTTCATTGGTCGGCACCGGCGGAGCCCCGGGCCTCAACACTCGCCGATTGGCTGCCGGGCGAGACCTGTCGCCAGCACGTAAATAACCACCGCCCTCCAATCACAGCCGTGTAGGGGCGGGCCGACGACGGGCCCGCGGGACTAACGAGGCCCGCGCGGGGTCGAGGCCATTGGACCCGCCGTTAGAACCAGGCCTGGGTGAGGGTGCTGCTAGGTCTCTCCCAGCCAGGCCAAGGACAGGGTCGCGCGCTCCAGGAAGGGGAGCTCTCGGAGGGCGGCGGCAGGGCCCCCCCGCCCCCAGGCCTCCTCGGCTTGCGGCGACCGCCCGCGACTCCCTCCTAATCCCAGCCAAAGCACTACCTGTCCCCCTCCTTCCGCTTCCGGGCCCGCCCTCCCCGCCATATTAGGTTCCGGCCCCGCCGCCCCGTCTCATTGGCCCGGACACAGGCCGATCCCCAGCTTATTGGCCCAGCCCTCGCACCCAAACCCTCCCGGCCAGCCTTAGGACCTTCTCCCGCCCAACTTCGGGCCCCGCCCCACCTGGGCTCCACCCTCTCCCCCGCCCACCCTTTAAGCCACGCCCCGGTGGCTTAAGCCAACGCCTCTAGGCCAAGTTGGGTCTAAGTTTCTGGCTCATAGGCCGCACCTAACCTGCATTGCTCCACCCCTTCGCTTCAGGCTCCGCCCATTTCGCCCAGGTACCCCTCCGGCCCCCACGCTGGTACACATATCAGTCTCCCCCTACACTTCAGATCCCTACCCACCGCGGGCGGGAGTCCTACTAGACCCCGCCCCTTATTAAGCCCCGCCCAAGCCTGCCTAGGCCCCGCCCGCAATTCGCATCCCTTCTCCCCAAGGCTCCTCCCCAGGCACCGAAGCCCGGTCCTCACAGGCTCCATCCCCTCACCCCTTCCTGTTCGCTGTCGCCGTCGCGCCCAGGTATTTACCTGGTACTTAGGTGAGTCGTCTGCAGTGGCGGCTTCGGTCTAAGCCTCCCGCCTCTTCTCTCGGAGCGTTCCTCAAGCCTCGAAGGCACGGAGGGGCCCCGGACCAAAGGCGGTGGGCTCCCCAGCCCGGGTCCCGCCTCGGTGCGGCTGCCTGCGCCCCCCGCCCACACTCCCAAAGGCAGCGCCGAAGTCGTCCCGGGTCGCGGCGACATGCCCGAGCTGGTGGTGACAGCGTTACTGGCGCCGTCGCGCCTCACTCTGAAGCTGCTGCGCGCCTTCATGTGGAGCCTCGTGTTCTCTGCCGCGCTGGTGGCCGCCGCCGTCTATGGCTGCATCGCGTTCACACACGTGCTGTGCCGGCCCCGGCGCGGCTGCTGCGGGCGCCCCCGGAGCACCCCACCCGCCTGTCTGAGCGACCCCACCCTGGGCGAACACTGCTTCCTGACCCTGAAGGTGAGCGCGCGCGCGCCCCGGGGCAGGGGGGGAGGGGTGTGTGGCCGTCGGGGCTTGGTGGGGGTGGGGGGCGTCGAGCAGCCCGGGAGGTCGGGCCCTGTAGGGCTGGGGCGGGCGGGGTGTGCAGACAGCAAATGGTTGAATCCAAATCTGGGTCTGCACGCGGCTGGGGTGTTCAAGCCTAGCGAGGAAGGGTGCCCCAGGTCTCGGACTGTGCCCTCCCCCAGAGCTCGGGCCTGCGCCTGCACTATGTCTCCGCCGGACGTGGCAATGGGCCCCTCATGCTGTTTCTGCACGGCTTCCCAGAGAACTGGTAGGTCTGAAGCCCAGGGTCCTGGGGCACACAAGGCTGGAGGTGAAGCTGGAGGTGGAGCTCGGACCACCAGGGCATCCAGGAGGCAGGCACGAGGGCTGGGTAGACTGGGGGCACAAAGCATCCAGATGGGGTGCTAGAGGACAGGGTTGCTGTCTACAGGAGGAGGCCCTGAAGGGATATGGGACAAAGAGGTCTTGGATCCAGAGCACAGCTGACCTTGCCCTCAGCCTGGGGTTCCCCCATCTTCCTTTCTGGGAAGCCCAGGGCAGGGAGGTGGGGCCTGGGAAGGCCCCTGCTGGGCATAGGGTGGAGGTGCAGCCTGGGGACCCTGACAGCCTCCCTCCCCACCCGCCTGACAGGTTCTCCTGGCGCTACCAGCTTTGGGAGTTCCAGAGCCGCTTCCACGTGGTGGCTGTGGACCTACGGGGATATGGCTCCTCAAACGCCCCTCAGGATGTAGACTGTTACACCATGGACCTGCTGATGATGGACATCCAGGATGTCATCCTGGGCCTGGGTGGGGATACCCCCATCCCAGGCCTGGCCTCCCTCACCCTGCCTCACCTCTCCCTGGCATCTCACTTACACCTGTTCCTCTGCCCCTCCCCCCCCCCCCGCCACCGCCCAGGTTATTCCAAGTGTATCCTGGTAGCCCATGACTGGGGTGCGCTCCTCGCCTGGAATTTCTCCATCTACTACCCATCCCTGGTCGAGCGGATGGTAATTGTCAGCGCTGCCCCCATGTCTGTGTACCAAGGTGGGTTGGGGAGTCCAGGGTGCTGGGATAGGCCTGTGTGAAGGAGCATGTGTCTGTGTCTACGCTTCCCTGTCCACCAGTCAACACTCGAGGGCCTGGGGACACACATGACACACCCAGTCTACAGTCAATGACAGTACACTTAGGAGTGACTCACATGTTTTGAGCACCTACAGGTAACCATTGCTCTGACGAGGAGCTTGCATACAATAACCTACACAAGCCTCCCGAGCATATGAAAGTGTTACTATCTTCGTGGTCCAGTTGGGGGAAACTGAGGCAAGAGAGGTTAAATGCCTTTCTTCTGGCAAGAAAGGTATAGATAACTAAGCAACTACAATAGCATGAGATGCCTGTCACCTCACCTGATTCTAATTCCCAGTATCATAGTCGAATGGCACAGTGACATGGCCTCTCTTATCTTTTTTCTCTCTCTCCCTCCCTCTTTGCTGTTTTTTCTCGTCTCTCTCTCTGTCTAGACTGTCAGCTCCCCAGGGGCAAGGGAGTTTTGGCTGTTCCATTTACTGCTGTGTCTCCAGGGTTTTAAACAGGTCCTGGCATCCAGTAGGTGCTCAGTAAATATTGAAATGCATCCAGGCCTGGGCAGGGGAATCACACCAGTGGCTCTTGGGGGCTCCTGGGAGCTGCGGAGAGAGGTGCCCCCATTCTGTTGGGTACAGTGACGACTCGGCAGGGAGGGAAGATGGTACCCGGGCCAGGAGGAGTGACGAGTGTCCTCACGGGCTCAGGCAGACAGCAATGACATTCCTGAGTGTTGGAGCATCCGGGTGCCTATAGGGGTACAGGGATGTGGGGCCACCCCAGGCCCAGGCCTCACATCTGCCTTTCCCCTGCCGCCAGACTACTCTATACGTCACATCAGCCAGTTCTTCCGTTCCAACTACATTTTCCTGTTCCAGCTTCCCTGGCTGCCTGAGAAATTACTGTCCATGTCTGACTTCCAGGTGCAGTGAGGCAAAGGCTGGTGGTAGGTGGAGGGTAGTGGGTTGGGCCTGGGCAGCCTGGGCACTGAAGCCACAGTCCCGTTGTGTACCCAGATCCTGAAGACCACCCTCACACACCGCAAGAGAGGCATCCCACACTTAACCCCCAATGAGCTCGAGGCCTTCCTTTATGACTTCTCACAGCCTGGTGGTCTCACTGGGCCCCTCAACTATTACCGAAACCTCTTCAGGTGAGACCAGACCCAGGGCCGAAAGCTCAGGAGACTTGTGGGGGCAGGGATTTGGGGCAGGGATTCTTCTGTCTGTCTCTGTCTTGGCCATAGGAACTTCCCCCTGGAGCCTCAGGAGCTGGCCACACCCACACTCCTGCTGTGGGGAGCGAAGGACACCTACTTCGAGCAGGGGCTGGTGGGAGCCATCAGCAGTCGCTTTGTGCCGGGCCGGCTGGAGGCCCACATCCTGCCGGGCGTGGGGCACTGGATCCCACAGAGCAACCCCAGGGAGATGCACGAGTACATGTGGGCCTTCTTGCAAGACCTGCTGGACTAGCGGCCCTCGCTCGCTGGCCTGTGTGCACCTGGGAGGCCGCACGGCATACGTACAAGGATGGACTCCCGGATCTTGCGTGGGCGCGGAACTCTAGGCTGCACAGAAGGGAGTCTGTGGGTGCCCTCAGGCACACCAGCCCATAGGCTCACACACAGGTGTGCGTGTGTGGGTGTGGGTGGGTGAACAAGCACTTCAATCCTTGAGAGCCAGGTACAGCTCTGTGGAGCTAGATTCAGAGTGTCCTACCTCTCCCCTCCCCTGGGGCCTTACTCTTCTTGCCAATGTCAGACCCCAGAGCAGCACCAACCACAGACTCTGACCTTCCTGTCCCTGGCTTTCCTCTGCAATCCGAGTCTTCAGCTAAATGCTGCTGTGTCCAGTAGGGTACCGGCAGCCACACCGGGCTACTTCAATTTACGTGCAAAGTAATGAGAAGAAAATCAATTAAAAATTCAGTTCCTCAGTCACTCTGGCCATACTTCAAGGGCTCAATTGCCACAGCAGTATAAAGCATTCAATTGGACAGTGCTGAGAAGGGTACTCCTAGAATAGGGGTATCCACACCTGGCTCCCGACCAGCTCCCCAAGGGAGGACTCTCATGTGCAAGCAGCTGGGTGTCTAGACTCCTGAATGTTCGGGCCCTGAGCAGCTCCCACAATCTTCCCTCCAGTCTTGACTCCAGGCCTTTTAAGCTCAAGTTCTCTTGCTGTAGCCTGGGAAAGATCCCTGGGGCCCCTATCTCCCATCCATGGAAAAACAGCTCTAGGCTCCGGTAGGATGGATATGTGAGATTCTGGACTGGCCCAGGAAGGGACCAGCTCCCTGAATGATCATCTGAGGTCTGAGGCCTGCCTCTCCAGCTCCTGGAATTTCTCCAAATGAACCACAGTTTCTGCTGATTCTTTCTGGGGTCCTCTGGCTCCAGCCTCCAGATGAGGGTGGTACAAGTAGAGGGTGAACCATCCAGCCCCTGGCTGGTGACAGCACTTCTATCTCCCCAGCCTTTGCCTGGCCTTGGGGGACAGTGTCATGACCTGCTGCATGATGAATCTCTCTGGGGCCCTGCAACCTCAGAAAAAAAATTCTCTTATTCCTGGGGTGGGCCAGCCTGCTAGTCATCCCCCTCTGTCCTCTCTTGTCCCCAACAGAACATCCTTCAACTCATCATGTGTGTCAGGCACTGATCTAGGCCCTTGTGGAGTTAGCAGAGAACAGGCATGGAGGGCTATATGAGTGTATGATGGCTCGGAAAAGGCTTCCCTAGCTGGGGGACGCACTTCGGTCGGAGGCAGAAATAAGCTTAGGCTCCTGGGGTAACAATGTGGGGACTAGCGGCTGCTCGGGCAGAGTGAGGGAGGAGAAGGAGAAGAGGCCACACAGTCAGACCGCCAGGGGCTGTGCGGAGTTTGGATTCGATTCCCAAGGGGAGCCAGGGGAGGGTTTTCAGCAGGGGAGGGACATGGCTTGCATTTTGAAAAGCTCCCTGTTGTGGCTGGACAGTCCCACGCGAGAGAGCGAGCGGGGAGACAGGCGGGGGGCTATGCACAGCCTCAGCACGGGGCGGCCCGTTAGGCCCCACGGGAGCCGGGACCCCCAGCGCCCGACCCACCCCGGGAAGCCCCCCACCACCCCTGCCAGGGTAGGAGCAGTGTCCCCCTAGGGTCGATGAGATGGGCCGGAGGGGAAGGGGACCCCGCCATCTCGGAGCCTGGGGCGAGGAGGCCTGCGGGCAGGACGAGGGCGGTGCGTCCAGGGGGCGGTGGGTCTGGCGACGGTTGCCAGGGTGACGGGGAAAGGGCTGATGGTTGACCGGAACGGGTAGCGGTTGTCTGGGTGATTGAAGGGGCCCAGGGAAGGCTGACGGGAGGCCTCGGACAGTTGCCGGGGCGACGGGTCCGCTGACGGTTGCCAGGCAACTAGAAGGCGCCGTCTTCCGCCTCTGCCGCAGGCTGGAGGGAGTCAGAGTCTGGGGAGGGGGTGGGGGGGGTAATTAATCGCGGTGATTGGACAGAGACCTGGCTAGTGCGCCAATAGAGACTCGTGGCTCGGCCGAAGCCCGCCTCTCCCAGCCTGAGCCAATCCGGGCGCGCCTTTCTCCCGGCCGAGGGGCTCGGCGCGCGCAACCCTTTGAGCGGGAGATGGGACCTGGAGGGCTCGGAGTGGGGGCGGCTTCGGCTGAGGCCCCTCCCAGGCCCGGCAGCTCCCTCTCCCTGCTCTGAGCTCCTGCCTCCGAATCACCTTTCACCATTCATCCATTCCATTCATTCATTCATTCATTCATTCATTCATTCATTCATTCATTCATTCCGGTCATTCACTCGTTCATCTCTGTCCCTACTACCAGCTCTAAGCCTTTGGCCGCGCACCAGAGGGGTGGGGGAGACGGAGCCGGGCTCAAGGGGAATAAGGAACAGGGCGCTTACTTGAGGAGTGGGAGGGAAGGCTCCCTGGAGGAGGCAGCCTTGGAACTAAACCCTACAAGGACGTGCTCCAACCCACACAAGCCTCCACGCACGGCTGATTGTGTTCCGCGAGACTGGGGGGAACTTTTGGGATGGGAAGACGTGGGATTGCAAAGGACTTCAAACATCAGGCGGGGAGCTTGATTCCCAGCAGGATGCGGGCCAGCAGGGGAGGGTTCCGGACAGATCTGTGTGTTTGGGATCTTACTTGGGGGCTGGTGAGGGGGAAGGACCAGAGGGGGAAGACTGAGGGTCGGGAGGCCTGGAAGGAGGATGGGCATGTTTCGGGCAATAAAGGATGAGGCCCAAATCCAGGCTCTGGGTGAGGAGCAGATATGAAGGGAAGGCCAGAAGCCAGTTTGAGTCATGTTCAGTCCAAGGGGCCTGAATCCCTGGGGCAAGGACCTAGACACATCTGTGGATTAAAGACAAAGATGGCCAAGCGACCGTGTCTGTGTGGGATGTCAGCAGAGTGATGCCGAAGCTGGGAGAGGATGAAGTCACCCCAGAACAGAGCAGACAACAAGACTGGAGACTAGCTCTTGGGGCCCCAACATCTAAGGGACAGGCCGAGCAGAGAAACCATAGAGTTAGGAGGGGAAGCAGGCAAGCGTGGTGCCCAGCAGCGGTGGTGGTGGTGGTGGGGGGTGTCAACGAGGAGGGGCACAGCCCATGGTGTCACAAGCTGCTGACAGATTGAGAGGACTGAGCCACACACATCCTGAGGGAGGGAATCTGAGAGCGGAGCCTGAGGACACAGGACTTGGATGTTCTGAGCACCCGGAAGCAGGAGTGAGGAGGGAAGCATGGGGACCCCAGCTGGGGGCCTAGGGGAAATAAGTGGCACATTCAAGTGGAGTAATTTGAGGCAGGTTTGCTACAGGAACCATATACAGTGGGCAGGGTTTGGGGAAACCAAAGGGGCGAGCACCCGCGGAGAGCCATTATCATCTCCTGGTCCCCCTGACCAGACAAGGGGAAAGAAGAACGTTAGAACCCAGGGATAGATTTATGTGCACAGGGCCTTTGGTCAAGGGATACAACCAGCTGAGGTGACCCTATGGGAAGGGATGCAGGAGGATTAATATCCCATTCTCTCCTTTGGCTTCATCTTCTGCCAGTGCCTCCTATTGGCCAAACCCACCTGGAAGCCAGAGGACAAGGCCGTCCATTGATGCAGTCTGTAGAGGTCAGCCTCTGGGGCACGGAGTGGAGTGGAGAAGGGGAAGAATGAAGCCAGGCATGTTCAGAGAAGCAGGGGAGAGAGGGGGTGGGGGTTGGGAGGATGTGAGATGAGTATTTGCTGTGGATTCCTGTGAACGTCACTTTATCATGGAAGAGACCTCAACTTAAGGCCAAGGGAAGAGGTAATGAAAAGCCCTGGGGACTAGGGAGGAGGAGGACAGGTGCCACACCTACAGGAAAGAAGACAAGCTTCAAGGGCTAGGGGGCTAAGGACAGGCCGGGGACATCAGAGCATCATGGTTCAGACCTGAGCAGGAGGAGATGGGGTCTGGGGTAAGGTCAGGGACGTGGAAGATCAGAGTGGTCTGAGCCCAGGGTCTGTGAGGCCAAGACATCCAGTGGATGTCCCACCCAATGGAGGGTCCTAAGACAGGGAAACCACCATCTCCAGAAGGCATGGCGGCGGGGGTGGCCTCCCCTTTTGCTTGTCCAGAGCTACAGGGCCAGTAGCTTCTCAATTCAAGTGAGTTCCCTTCTCTTCACTCTCCTCCATATTCAGTTTTCACCCCCTCTCCTCCTCCGAGAAGCCCTACCAGCCCCCATCCCTGCCTCTGACCTAGACCTGATCTAATGGGGACTCAAGGGCTGGCACTGGGCACATTCAGGTCCCAGCTCCTGGGTCCTGCTCTTCACTGAGATGTGCTTGGTATATCCATTCATTCGACCTACTGTGAAACAGACTCTATGCTAGACACTGGGGATTCAGCAGCGAGCCAGACAGATGCCCACAGAGCTCAGAATCTGGTGGGGAGCCAGGGAGGATCACGTGGAGTGACGAGGCCATGCGAGCCCAGAGGAGATGGTGTGAAGCCTCAGGGACGACTACCTGGGAGAGAAGGCAGAGCTTCCAGAGTGGTCTTCTACAACCTCAGTCAGATCAGCTTCTCCCTGCTAAAACCCTCCAGTGGCGGCCACCGTGCTTGTGATAGAAGCCCAGACCCTGTGGCCCCTCGAGACTTGGCCCGCATCATCTTCCTTGACCTCCCACCCCTCACGCACTCTGTGCCCAGAACCCTGGCTTCGTCGCTGTTCCTCTCATCCACTTGCCTCTTCCTCCCCTGGCTGGGCCTTTGCACTTGCCATTCCCTCTACCTGGCATCCCTTTCCTCTGGCTGTTTGCTCCTGCCTGGCTCCTTCTCCTCCTTCAGGTCTCAGTTGTAATGTCCCCTAACTCAATGAGGCCTGTCCTGCCTCTGACACTGAAATCTCCCCTTCCCTTGTGTCACACTCAATGGTTCTTACTTGTCTGCCTTCTTGTTTCTGGTCTGTCTCCCTCATCAGGGCAGGGAACAGCTCTGTCTTTGTCACCTCTGCCTGTAATAGGGCCTGGAACCAAGTGGGTAGTCAGTAGCATTTGTTGAATGAATGAATGAATGAAGGTGAGAAGAGCTGGAGGGTCCAAGTGAACTGCCAGGTGAAAGGAGTCTTCGGGGTATGAGAAAGGTGCTCCCTACGGTGGGTGCAACCCGTGCCAAGACCGGGAAAGCTGGGAGATAGAAGTGAAGCTGGTGAGGCAATGACGGTGTCACTCTGGCAGTGGGGAGCCATAGACGGTTGGAGAATGAGAGGGTCCTAGGGAGGCAGGGGCCAAAAGAACTGGTTGGGTCTGTAGCCAATGGCCCCTGGAGTCCGGCCTTCCCACTCTTGCCCAGGGCCCACACCCAGCAGCCCTCAGTCCTGCTGGTTCTTGTCGGACTCCCATGGCCCACTGCCTGGGCATGAGGGCCTGGCCCCAGCTTTGGTGCTGAGGGCGGGACTGTGGTCCCAGGAGGAGAAGCTGAGGGCATGTTCTCAGGTTCCTGGTCATCGGCCCTGGGCCCGGCAGCTGTGTCTTGGCCTGGCCCCAGGTCCTGTGTCCCTGGGGACTGAGCTCATTGAGGAGAAATGCAGTCCTGGGCCAAGGCGGCCGGCAGGGCAGGGGAGAGGGCTCGAGCTCACCCCTACCCCCACCACATTGGGAACTGTGTGGCAGCCCACTGCAAGGCTGTGGGAATGGTCTCTCCAGACTACCCTGTCCCCCAAGGACCTTGACACCTTGGGCTGTTTCTGCCACTGTGGCTGGAGGGCGGCAGGAAGCTGGAGCCACGAATCCACGTCCTGCTGGCTGAGTCATGGGGACTTCAGAAAGGGACTGACACACTGTAGGCACTCTGTAGACTTTCTTTCTTTTGTGCCCATTCCCCCCCATGCTGGCCTTGCCTGTGTTTGCACTATTATTGTTTCCTCTCTGTCTCTGTTTGCTATAGAGCAGAGGCCACCAGATCAGCAGAGTCACAGACTCTAGACTTCCTGTCTAGCAAAATGTGGGTCCAGGTTCTTTGGTTGCTCCTTGTGATGGGGAGCTCAGCACCTCCTAGGGCATCCATTCCAGCAAAAAGTCCTTTCTCAGATGGGTCCGGGTTGGAGCTAGCTCACCTCCTGAAGCCCCTACCTTTGCCTCTGGACCCCCAAACCCTTTTCTGGACCCCCAGACCTCTAGAATGGTACTGAAGAGAGTGTTCTGGGCCCCCCTGTGGCAATCCTTCTGGGCTGGGCATCCTAACTCCTTCAGCCAATTCCTGAGTCACCAAACCCTCCCATGTCACCCCTTCTGTGTCCGCACCATGCTGTGTGATGCCTGGTTCCTGGGAAGCTCCTGATCTAGGTGGGGATACAGAGCAGGACACAGATATCCCAGCCACTTATGGATAAGACTAATAGAGAGGGAAGGAGGGTGCTGGGAAAGCCCAGGGGGGCTCTGCCTGGAGGGGCAGAGAGGGCTTCCTGGAGCTGGAACCTTCCTTCCTTCCTTCCTTCCTTCCTTCCTTCCTTCCTTCCTTCCTTCCTTCCTTCCTTCCTTCCTTTCTTTCTCTTTCTTTTCTTTCTTGCTTCCTTCCTTCCTTCCTTTTTTTTTTTCTTTTTAAGATTTTATTTATTTCAGAGAGAGAGCAAGCGTGAGGGGTTGGTGGTGGTGGCAGAGGGAGAAACAGATTCCCAGCTGATCAGGGATCCGGCGTGGCTGGATCCCAGGACCCCGGGATCATGACCTGAGCCAGAGGTAGACGCTTAACTGACTGAACCACACAGGTACCCCTGGAGCTGGAACCTTGAGGAATAAACGGGAGTTCCCCAGGTACAGAAATGGGGGGGTTGGAAGGCACGTCAG